CAGTAACAACTTGTTTGTAACTTCGGTGATCTTTTGGGGAATATTGCATCCAAATCTTAGAAACAATTACCTTTCAGGATCTGAGACATATGCAATTAATTAACCTGGCAAACATAGTCCAAAAGAAAGGATTCAATTGAAAAACAATCATATCATGGTAGAGAGAGCCTGAAAAATATTGCACACTGAAAAAAGAAGTATGATCTGGTGGACTGGATAATGAAAACTGTGTCAGGTGGCTTAAGATGGTTTTCTTGCCTCTTCCTGGAATGCTTTCTATGAATTCTAGATGATTGGGCTACTAGATTGAATCCAAACCCAAAGTTTCCATTCAATTTAGTTTACCTTCTCTGAGTTAGACAGGCTTTCCTAAGGTCCCTAAGAATGTCACAAATAGCACAAACCATAACTTCCAGGTCAAAGCAGAAATAAATTGGAACTTAGTGTTCTCACTTACAGGCTGCCAAAAGTTTCTACAGCTGGAGCAACACTGAACAGAGTGACAAGGTGAAACAGGAACCCTCAAAGCTATCAATCTACTGTACATACAGCCCCAGTTAGCACATGGATATTCAAACCACAAATGGAGCCAGTTCAGAGAAATTTTGTCCCAAATAAGCAAGTTACTGACTGAGCACCTGCTCCCTGTAAGGCATCGTGCTAAGAAGGAGCCTAAGACGCCAGGCTGCCCACAGACAGCTTACCAGCTAGCTGGTAATGGAGACAGATTCTCCCACAAGAAGATTCTCAACCACTGAGTTGGCGTGTGATAAATATGAACTGGGTACGGGCACCTGGGTGGCTCAGTCGTTAAGCATCTGCCTTCAGCTCGGGTCATGGTCCCAGGGTCCTCGGATCGAGTCCCGCACTGGGCTCCCTGCTCACGGGAAGCCTGCTTCTCCCTCTCCCTCCCCCTGCTCGTGCTCTCTCTCTCACTCATTCTCTCTCTCTCTCTCTCTCTGTCAAATAAATAAAATCTTTTAAAAATAAAAATAAATAAAAAATTAAAAAATTAATGTCTATTATGAACTAAGTTATTGGTGAACATACTATATTCCAAGCTCCGCACAGAGAGCTTTACACAGATTACTTCACTTGTCACAACAACTCTGTGAGGTATATTTTCTTCATTTAACACAGGAAGAAATCAACGCATGAAAGAGGTGGGCAATTTGCCTGTGATTACACATGCAGTAACAGGGTTGGACTCAAGTCCAGGCATACATTCATAACTGCTATGGAAAGATGGTGGTGTGCAATGGCTAAGTAGACAAAAGGATATGCCCTCCAGTTGTTCACTACATTATGTCAGAGTTTTTGAAAGGGTATGACACTGGCATAAGAGTAGATGGAGTAATAGAAGAGTAAATTCAGAAACAGATCCAGTATGTATCAGAATTTATAATCTGATAAAGAAAGCATCTCAAAACAATAATGAAATGATGGAAAATTCAATATGTGATGATGGAGAATGTAGTTAACCATTTAAGGAGGAAGGGTTAAGTTCCTAACCAGTGCTGTATACTGGAATGTAAGAAACATTCCATATAGACTAAAGATTCAAATAAGAACAAATAAATCATAAAAGTACTAGAAGAAAATATCAGTGAAATTTACATAATCTTGGGCTGGGAATTACAGCAAAGATAGAAATCATAAAGGGAAGAGATGAACAGATTTTATTACATACCATTTTTAAAGTTTCTCTTTGACCCAAAAAACCATTAACAAGGTTTTTAGAAAGTCAGTTGACAAATTGGGGACTTATGGGAAAGAATTCATGACAAAATAATTAATATGCTTAATACATAATGAACTTAAAAATCAATAAGGAAAATATAAACAGCCAAATAGGATAAAAAATGAACAAAAGTTATGAAAAGGCAGATGGTAAAAGGTAGAATACAAGTGGTTACAAGCATATAAAAAATGCTCTATCTTATTAGTTAGAAAATAAATGCAAATCAGGACAACAAACTGATAATATTTTTAATTTAACAGATTAATATAGATTTTTTTAAACACAAAACCTAATGTTGGCAAGTGTTTGAGAAAACACAGGAATTCTCATACACTATTGGCAGGAACATAAATTGGTTTAACATCTTTAGGTGACAGTTTGGCTGTAGCTATCAATTTCTTTTTTCCAGAAATTCTATTTTCTAACATAATTTGTCAAATGTGTAAAAAAAAAATTGCAAAAGTATTTATCATAGAGTTTGTTATAATTGCAGAATGGTGGGAAAAAACTAAATGTCCATCTATAAGGAATCAGCTTAATAACTAAAGATAAATCTATACAATTGATTACAATGTGGCTATTAAAAATTATAACCCGAGGCTTAATGTACTGACATGAAACAATGACCATGATATTATCAAGTGAAAGTAGCAGATTATTAAACAATATGAATGTGATGACTCATGTGATTATTATTTTAAAAAATCAAAATGTATGTGGGGGGGTGGTGTACACACGCGTAAGAAACAGGACAGGAAAGCCTACACCAAGATGTTAACAATAATTACCACTGGTTACTGGGGTTACGATTCAAAGATATTTTATTTCTCTTTTATTTTTTTCAATTCTTTCTTTTTTTGGTAAAAAAATTTTTATATTGTATTTAAAAGATAGACAAAAGGTGACAGTACTTTAAAAAATGAAACTTATCTTTTACAATTCTTTTTGTTAGAGCCCTTATCACACTCATATGTGATCCATTGGCTCACCAAAGCGCGAGAAGTGTTTAATCACTAGAAGGGTCAAGCCCTGCACTTGGATGGCTGGGGAACCTGTGTCAACTGAACAAGAGTAGAATCAGACCTCTATGGATCAGTTGATTGTTAGCAGAAGTTCTGGGATGCTGTCCTGAGAGATCACTTGAGTGAACTCCCTCTTGTTCTCGGCTCATGAAATCTCTGTAATGAGTAAGGCATATGACTCATCCTCTCATACTTTCCATTTGTTTCCGAGGTGTTGATTGGCAGGTGGATTAGCACTGAGAACAGAATTGTTCAAGAAAAGTCAAATACTGAACTCTTAGGACAATTCTTATGCCACAAGTGTCTTAAATTTGGAAGACAAAGGAAAAGTTAAACCATTTCATGACCCTCATATCTGTCACCCGCCACCCTCCCTGTGTCCCTTACACACATCAAGATACATCCACAGACATCATTATTCTCGCCTCTCGGAGGACTCAGCCAGAAAAGCTGGAGCTGTCAAAGAGAATCCTCTTTGGGGTGTAACATGTGTCCCTACTTGAGCAATTACAGCCTTGTGTTCATCCAGGCTGGACAGGCTGACCTGTCTCCTAAGTTCTTCATTAAACAACATCTGTACCTCACCCTCCTATTGTGGTGAGGTAAGAGGGAGATTCTCACACAGCCTGATAACGGCTGTTTTATCATTCCTTCTACAATCTTTGAGAACGCCAAGGAAAAACTCCCAACTGTGAAGCAAGGATGATTGGAAACACCCTGAACACCAGATTAAAAGCAAGAAAATTGCACCAAACCTCAGAGAGATTTTTTTTTCTATGCTTCACACGGAGGCCCCCCACCATCACTGACTTCTGGATTAAACTGTTAAAGTTTAATGAATTATTACCATGTTTCTGTGGAAAACTATAACCTAGGACTTTGTTTTTAACTAAAAGCTCCATGTATCGGCTGGCAATTTTCCACCAATGCTGATTTTTAAAAAAGAGTATGTTTTTCACATAGAAACACCCTCCCCCCACCCTAATCATTGCATTCTCCGGGCATATTTCACTCTGATTCCAGACAAGTAATATTACAATTCATCCTCATCTCAGCAATTGTTACATCAAAAAGAAAAGACAGAGGTGTAGCTAAATGAATTACACGGAGAAAGCCAGGTGGATAATAAGAGACAGCTTTCATTTGCACATTTATATAGCTCAGGAATCTACTACAGGAGTGTAAGAAACAAAATCTGAAAAATTATTTACCCATATTTTTTCATTTGTTAGAAAACTTCCATTAAAAACAGGTAAGGCATAGATAAGGTGACTCTCACAGAAGCCTAGATGGTGAATTATTCATTCTAGCAGGGCCATTCCAGGTCACAAGACAGGAGACTTCTTATAATCTTAGACATAATAGAGATCGAGGATGACAGAGCTCTGTTAAATCAACTCATACTGCATTCAATTCTTCAGAACGCAGCACTGAAAAGACATTGGTAGACCCGGGAGAGAAACATCTGAGACGAATTGTCAGGTATCAGAGAAAAGCAGGTCAGAATGTGGGCCTGTTTTTTAAAGCGATTTGTCCAGAAGACCAGACAAAGGGAAAATATTGTGGAAGAGTCCTTCACTTCCCCTGATCCCATGCCACCAGCATTAAAATGACTGTAATAATAGACCAGTCAGCATATTTTTTAAGGTGAAGGAGAATGAAAAAAATCAAGTCCATGACTGGTTTTTCAGAACATTTTAAATGATCATAAAAATATTATATATGCCTAGAGGCAATTTTTTAAAATACAGAAAAGCAAAATAAAGAAATGATCTCTCCTCTTACCACTCAGAAAGAAAAACAATCATTAAGACTTAGTAAAAATGTTGTCGGTCTATTTTATGTGGAAGATGCGTATTAGACAGTAATGCTAATCTAAAGCATATATATTTTTCCCCAAAATTGGATATATATATATTTCTTCTCAAAACTGGATTTATATTATAAACAGGGTTTGTAACCTGCTTTTTTTTAACTCAACATTCTTAAGTATTTTAATTACAATGTCACAGTGTTTTAAATTTATCATCACTATCAATAATGGTTTCAGGCACCAATATGCATATTACATAAAGGTTTAAAAAAAAAAAAAAAAAAACCTTGATATAGGATCAAGCAATTTCCCAACACATGACATGTATCCCCAATCCTATTTTTGCAATATCCACTGGGGGATCATTAATCCTCTGGAAAAAGAAGACAAATTACATAATCTCTGTAAATTTCAGTTTCCTTACCTGCAAAATGCCATCACATTGTTGCAGGCTGCGTTTCCCACATAACTCAGTCCTGGAATTAGTTACATAAGCAAAAATATCTGTTAAAAGGGGGAGTCCTAAAGTGATACAAACATACCTTACATATTTTACAGTAACTTAAAATATACAAATGAACATTCATCAAGCTTATGAAATAGTGCGAAGCCTTTTTTTTCTTGCATAAACCACACCCATAATGTATCTATAATTTCCAGTTGTACTTTCTTTAACAAGAAACAGAACATGCAGACACTTGTAAAACAGTCTAAGGGCAAAATCCTTCTAGATTTTCCTCCATACTAAATTGAACTGCAACTTGTTTAGTGAATTCCTTAAGACTTTCGAAACATGCAACTTAAGTTTTCATAAAAACAATATCTTTCTTTCCCACCTATATATGACCACTTTACATAATATTTAATCAATTTACATAATTTCAACAACAAACGCATCTGGAAAACGGGCTTGGGAACAAGCTCCATTGATCCTTCTGAGCACATCCCTCCAGTGGAAGCAGCTGAAGGACTCAGTGCACTGAACGAATAATCCACTGGCTTCGAGCATCCAGTGTGTTGTGAAGACCAGTCGACATGTGGTAGAGGGAATATTGGAAACACAGTGCAAGAGTAAGTAGAAAGGACTTAATTGTCTATAAGACACACGATTAACAGAGCAGACACGGACAATCAGTAGATGAAGTGTCGACAATGTAAATAAATAAGAACAGTATGGTAAATGCAGTCAAAATCCCTGAGAGCAAGAGTTGCTGCTGATTCCTCTTAGAGATAATGGGCACTGAAAAGACTGCAGAGGAATAGAAGTTAGAGGAGTCCTAGGACCAGGGTTGTAAATGATAAGGAATGTCCTCAAAGAAACATTGCTGAAGGTTTCGTGCGAAGTGCCTATGAGGTAACAGAAGAAAGAATGAGAAAAGAAAAGTTTCCTTACATGACAATTTGGAGCAAATAATTGGGTCACAGACCATATGTGGGTCATGTCAAGTTGGTTCAGCCTTCTTAGGATCACAGTTCCCTTTGATAACCTGTGATAAAGCTACAGACCTCAAAATAGTTTTGTAGTGCTTAATAAAACTACAAGCACTTATCACGTGACCCAGCAATTGCACTGTTGGGCACTTATCCCAAAGAAATAAAGACTTGGGGGTGCCTGGGCGGCTCAGTCAGTTAAGCGTCTGCCTTCGGCTCAGGTCATGATCTCAGGGTCCTGGGATCGAGCCCCGCATCGGGCTCCCTGCTCAGCGGGGAGTCTGCTTCTCCCTCTGCCTCTGCCCCCCGCTCTCTCTCTCACTCACTCTCTCTAATAAATAAATAAAATCTTTTTAAAAATGAAGACTTTTCCACACAAAAACCGGTACGCTAGTGTCCATAGCAGTTTTATTCACAACAGCCAAAAACCATGAACAACTTAAGTGGTTTTCAGTGGGCACATGGAGAAACCAGCTCCATGTACCACATATTGCTTAGCAATAAATGGAAGTGAACCACAGATAAACTCAACAACTTGGATAAATCTCCAGGGACTTATGCTGAGTGAAAAAAAAAAAAAAAAAGCAAATTTCAAAAGACTCCAAATTGTATGACTCCCTTTATATAACATTCTTGAAATAACAAAATTATGGAGCTAAACAACAGATAAGTGGTTGCCAGGGATTAGGGATAGCAGACAGAGAGGTGGATGCGGCTATCAAAGGAGTAGCAGGAGAGGTCCTTGTGATTGCAGACAGTTCCGTACCTTGATTGTGGTCGTGGTTACATGCATAGTACATAAAACAACTGCATAGAACCACACACACAGGGACAGGTAAAACTGGAAAAATGTTAATAAATTCTGTAGACCTCAACGTCAGCTTCCTGGTTTTGATACTGTACTATAGTTATGCGATATATTACCAGTGGTCCTGAAACACCGGACCTCTCTATACATGTTCTTCAACTTCATGTGAATTTGTAATTATATCAAAATAAAGGTTTTCAAAAAGGCTGGTCTATATGTACTTGTATGGAAATATAACTTTGTATTATTAAAGTCAGTCATCAAATAGAACCATGGTATGATCCTCTTATGAGATTAAGAGATTGAAGATGTAAAGAGAGAAAAGTGAAGAAAAAACAAATTCTAACTTATTATTTGATATGCTTCTGTGCTGGCTGAATTTTTTTACTTGATATTCTGTACAGTTTGAATTTTTCACAGTATGAACATATTACTTTATCATTTAAAAGGCAAAGCAGAATAATATAAATTATTCTTTTAAATCTATGGACCTCAGGCGCCTGGGTGGCTCAGTTGGTTAAGCAACTGCCTTCGGCTCAGGTCATGATCCTGGAGTCCCGGGATCGAGTCCCGCACCGGGCTCCCTGCTCGGCGGGGAGTCTGCTTCTCCCTCTGACCCTCCTCCCTCTCATGTTCTCTGTCTCTCATTCTCTCTCTCTCAAATAAAAAAAAAAAAAAATCTATGGACCTCTTCCCCCCAAAAATTCATATACAATTATGTACACAATTTTAGCAATCTCCTAGACCCTGAAGTCCATCCATGGATCTCCTAAAGGGTATGTGTGCCCCTGACTAAGCACCCCTGCTTTAAAAAAATTGACGCCTTCAGACGTGGAGAGAAGTAGGATCAAGGGACCTATAAATATATTCTGTAATCACCCTGGGCTCCATTTGCTATGATACCCAGCCACCCTCAAGTGGGAAATAAAGATTCATTTCTTTGTTTCTTCGGAAGTGACTACATGTGGAACTCTGTATTGCAACTTTAGGAACCACACCAAGGGTGATCATAACAAACATGAAGGAATAAATTAACATATAAATAACTTATTACTAAGAGTACTTAGAACAACATGAGGAAATAGAATGGTTCTTTGAGCATTTGTTTACCAGCCATATTCCAGGCAATATGCTAGACACTGGAAATAAGGCAGTGAGAAAAACAGGCTAGTTTTCCACCTAGAAACTACCGGGTGCCTAGAGGCATGGGAATGTTCTTGGCCTGCTTAATGCAAGACATCCCATCTTGTTGAAAATCTTCAATATATAAACAACATGTATAGGAGCGCCTGGGTGGCTCAGATGGTTAAGCGTCTGCCTTCAGCTCAGGTCATGATCCCAGGGTCCTGGGATCGAGCCCCGAATTGTGCGCCTTGCTCAGCGGGGAGCCTGCTTCTCCCTCTCCCTCTGCCTCTCCCCCTGCTCATGCTCTCTCTCTCTCTATCTCTGTGTCTCAAATGAATAAATAAAATCTTTAAAAAAAAAATATGTATAATTGATACACAAGGATTATGGAACCAGAGTGGAAATGTTTTATATCAGCCCCTAAAAGAAATATAACACATAAATATATAAAGAAATATCTGATAGATAGGTAGATAGATAGATAGATATCCACTATCAAATAGCTTTGCTCATCCAGAACCCTTTCAGACAACCACTGGTTTAATTTTTGACTCAAACATGGTAGAAAAGGCTAAATGATTCAATAAACTAGACAAATAATCTCTTGTTAAAAAAAAAAAAAAGGAAAGCTTGGTAGAGAACTGCAACAGTACATTAACAGGAATAGAACTAGCAGGAACACACATGAAATGTTAAAAATTTTGAAGTTGAGAAGCAGCATGGTATAGAATACATGTGGCTAATAACACAGCCTGCAGCCACACCACCTGGGTTGGAATCCCAAATCTGTCACTTACCAGCTCTATGACCAAGAGAGTTACTCCCTCTCTGTGCCTCAGCTTCTTCATCTGTAGAATGGACACATGAAAGAGCTGAAGGCTGACTGAATTCGAGTTCGAAAAATGTATTTGTCAAATAAACTTTGTAACAAACATTTATTGGACTGAAACCAAATACTACGGGTATTCTGAGGAAAATATTCCTGGGAAAGGAGCACCAGGTGGTGCTACAGAGAGACGCTCTTCCCGACAGAATCCAGGCAAGGACAAGGCAGGAAAGTGAGAGCAGGTTTGGAAAAAGCAGTCCAGGAGAAGTACAACAAGAAGACAGAGACTGGGGGCACCAGTCGGGCTCAGTCGGCGGAGCATGTGACTCTCGATCCCGGGGTCATGAGTTCGAGCCCCACTTTGGGTGTAGAGATTACTTAAAAATAAAATCTTTTTAAAAAGAAGAAGACAGATTGGCCTAAAGGGGCAGATCAGAGGCTCAGCAAAAAGAGACCTTGCCTGCCAACAAAGGATTTGGGTTTTGCTTGATAAGTAATGCTAAACCCCTGAAGGATTTTAAACAAAGAAGAAACCTGATCAGTGCTATGCTTTAGGAAAATCAACTTGTCCCGCGGTTGATGAGTAGATGGGAAAACCAGGTACAAAACCACTGTATTATAAATGGTTGTACACCAGGAGAAGTGTAAGCGAGGCCAAAGCAGAATGACGACAGTGAAGATGAATAAGAAACAGAACGGATAATAGCTGAGTAAAGAGACAGAGAGATTGGAAAAATGGCTGGGCCAGCAAAAGAAATCAAAAACTATGAAAATAGAACTGAGAAATTACTATGTGCCAGACATGCTAGCAATTTCACATAAGTTTTCATAAGTAATATGCCAAATGACCAAATGAAAGTAGCCTTTTCTTTACCCATAAGAAACTGAGGCTCAGAAAAGTTATTTGCCTAGAATCATGAGGCCAGTGAGAAGCAGAATCAAGATATGAACCCAAAGCTTCCGGATCCCAGACCAGATTCCATGCTCTCTCCAGGAATCCATGCTAGTGCTGGGGTTGGGTGCGGGGGGATTCCAACTCTGTTTTTGGACACACTCTTCGACCTCTAGATGAATTTTTTCAACGGCCAGCTAGAAAGGCAGAGGAAGTCTGGGGGGTGGGGAGACAGGAGGGTTGGAGAATGGAATTCAGAAGCTTCACGGAGGTTCTGTAAGGATTAGTGAAGTTGCTGAAGTGAATAATCAATAACAGATCATTTATAATTATTAACTTGCATGTTCGTGTGCTGGGATGTAATCATGTTTGTCTGAAGAGCCAACACAGCAGT